GGAGCAATATAATTTATTTAATTTTGAATCTTGCAAAGAAATCCATGAAGAAATAAAGGAATGTAATATAGATGTGAATTTTAAAACATTTCTACCAAAATTGGATATGCTAATTACAGATTTCAATGAAAGATTTTCTCAATTTGATGTTAACCGTCTATTGATTTATTTTGTGATCCAATTAATATTGATATCAACTCTGTTGATCTTAAATATCAAATAGAATTATGCGACCTGCAGGCTGACCCATTTTTACATCTCATGGAGTAACTGGAGTAGAAATATTCAAATTTTTAGATAAAGAGAAATATCCAAAATTGAGAGATTTTGGACTTCAAATTGTATCAATGTTCGGAAGTACATATATCTGCAAGCGTGTATACTCTGATATGAAATATATAAAGTCAAAATATAGAAACAGTTTGAAAGATTGAAGATATAATTATACTTGCCACAACAAATATTGATGTGGACATAAAAGATATTATTGCTAAAAAATTACAACCACAATTTTCTCATTAATATATTACGAATATTTTAAAGTTTTCATTTTAGTATAAATAAAATATTTTTTTAATCAACATAAACTGACTTTTAATTTATCAACCTTCTTGGCCTCCGAAATGTTTGGTGAAGAAAATATGGCCCGGGAGCTATGATAAATTAGACAGCGCTGTTCTAGAAGAACAATTTATGTGAAAAAAACAAAAAATAATGTATGACAACTTTTGGTATAAACTGCACTGCACAGTTAAATTTTTTTGTTATGTGAAGTTGATAACATTTTATATATTTTAAAAATTTTTATAAATTTAATTTTACTTATTTTAAAACATTTTGTTTAAGTACAGTTATTGCATTTTTTGTTTGTCTAAAATGTAAAATATTTAATAAGATTCCGAAATTTATTTTTATAAAATTTTAGAAAAAAACAACAATCACAACTTGCAAAAAATAATTATTTTGTGAAGCCTTGATACACTTAAAAGGTAATTTTTCCTTTCTTTCCATATGCCTTCGTGGGGTAACAGGAAGCATACTAAACATGCATTAAAGAGCTCCAGGCCTTCAAGTCCCAGCAAAGGCACTGCATTTCTCATGTCTTAAAAAATAACCTAATGACTACAGTGATGCCCAAACTAAAAGCTGGTGGATGATAATTCGTCACTACCAGGATTTGGGAAGTGGGTGTCCTAATCCCCAGTCATCCTTTAACTCTTTTGCATCGAAGTCACCCATAACGCCCATTCATTCAGGCAACACCAAACGCCTCGTTTATTTTCTACCTAGTGCTTCTTCCCTCCACATACGTTAGTGTATGGATCATTGGTTTCACAAGTTGTTAAGAGACATGTCAATCATTTTTTTGAAGCAACTAAAGTACCTTTCTTATCTGAATGCATGTTCGCTCTCCTTTGTTTAGCATCATCGCTCCCAGGCGAGGTGACTTATGTATAGACCACTCATTTTGCTTCTTCCTCAGGTAAAAAAAATATCTTTCTGCTATTCTGTAGCTTCATCGCAAAATGTTCAGAAGATGTAATATATTAACACAAGAAGAAATAAAGGCCATATTATTTGCAGAAACAGGTTGAATCCGATGAAGATGATGGACATGAAAATAATGAGGACAATGAAATCGAACATAGTGATAATTTAGAACAATCTGTTTTACAAAGTGGTGAAAATTTGGACTCTCTTTGTGATACCTTTTAACCAGACTGGAGGAACTATATAAATAAAAGGACACAAAATTTGGATTTTTCTCTTCCTCACCTGCGGCCATCTCATGATTTGCCAACTGGATCATCTGCTTTAGATTATTTCAAATTACTTATGCCCAATGAATACTGTGAAGTAATTAGAAAAAAATACAAAAAAATATGCATAATTTTGTGCAAAAAATCATGGTGTTGAAGATGGAAGCTGGCAACCTATACTCTCCATAAATGAGATATGGGCTTTTATAATGGTTTTTTTTTTTTTTTTTTTTTTTTTTTTTTTTTTTTTCATAATGAGCATTATGCATTTACCTAGAATGAATGATTACTGGTCCCAGAATCCTATACTTGGCAACGAAGTGATAAAGAAATTAATGTGTAGAGACAGATTTTTAAAAATTAAACATTATTTTCATATCTCCAATAGAGAAAAGAAGGTAAAAGAAAACGATGAAAACTTTAATTTTTTTCAAAAGTTAGAGCCTATTGTTTCTGAGGTAAAAGGGCGGTTTTCAGATTGTTTTAATCTGTGATTGTTATAAAAATCTTTCCATTGATGAAGTTATGGTAAAATTCAAAGGGCGTTTAAGAATTGTACAGTATATGCCTTTAAAAACCAGATAAGCGCAAGCTTAAAATTTGGATGTTATGCACATCTTATTTGGGTTATACTGTAAATTTTTATTTGTATGGGGTAAAACAAGATAAAATTGTGAGATCAGGCAAAGGATTGGGGTACGACGCTGTCACACATTTGATAAAGCCCTTAACAAGCAAAGGACATGAACTCTATTTTAATCGATTTTTTTTACCAGCGTTCAGCTGATGGTTGATTTATTGAAATTCGACTTTTATGCTTGCAGAACTGTTATGCCGAACAGAAAGCACTAACCAACTGAAATTAAAACGTTAAAATTGAAAATCCCAAATGAAAGCCAGACTTTTCAGAGTAAAAAATTTCCAAATTTGTTGTGCAAGTCTTGGGTAGACAAAAAGCAAGTTTTTATGCTGTCAACCAACACATTATTATTTGCATGCAAATAAAAAATATAGAAAAAGATTAATGTTTTAAAGATTTTTAATTTATGCTAAAATATCAGAAAATAATGTAACATTCAAGAGAACTAATAAATAATGCTATTTAAATGTTGTAACAGTGTCACAGAAGGAATGAAACATGTACCAGTTAATACAGATTTTATTAATAAATTACAATGCAATTTAATCGATCTGCAATGAAATCAGTGACTTCGAAATCTGGGTAACTTGGTTATAAAATGCACAAAAATTAAAAATGAAAACAGGCAAATTTTAAAAGCAATTTATTCGAAAATGAGATGTTTGTATGAAAGAATATCCTTTTAGTTCTGATACCGTTTACTCATGAAATGTTGAGTATTTGGTGGACAATAACCCTAGAGCACTTCCAGGGTCCGTCAGAGAGAAGCTATTCATTCGCAAAGTTCTTGACAGTTCGCATCTACTAATGCTTACAGCGCAATCAATCTCTTTTAGGCGGAAGAATTGATCTAAAATTCTGAGAGGGATGGGAAATAGCAAAAGAACTGCTTGACAATTTTCAGAGGTTTAGGGTTATTTTCGCAACATTTTACGGGAAGTTCGGTCCAAAATTAGCGACAGTTTTAAAGGGATTCGCAGAAAATTACTCGACAGGCTAAGGGTTAATTGACTGGTGTAAATGAAGGTTAGGGAATTTTATGTACCACAGACTGAAGACACAGAAATTTCTAAATATAGTTAAGTCAATATCTCGTTGTTGTAGTGCGTATATGCAATAACACGTATTTCCTTTTTGATGTTATTTTATTGTGTGATTTAAAATGTTTATTGTTGCAGTTTATTGAGATTCGATTAGCTACAAATCTTATCCAATTTTGATACTGAGTAACTGTGTTTAAACATTATATGATGTCATCATTCTTCTGATTTTTTTAAAGTGAAAATAGACCGATGTGTAGATAGACAAAATCAAGGGACCGCGCAATGCTGAGTTTGTGCAATTCTCTGATTTTTTTTAAAGTGAAAATAGATTGTACATGGACACCGAGTTTTTGCACTTCTTTGACTTGCTATTTTGATTTTGTGTAGCGGTCATCTTGAAATTGTGCCTTGCTGGCCAATCGCCAATTTTCGCCAAGAGGCACCCTTAAATGGTTACAGTAGAGAGAAGGGTACCCCTTGTATTATCGCAAAGTTGTTTGTTTCATTTATGGTAGCCTGAGTAGCTGAATGTTACGAAAACACTATTATGACATAATCGGTTGCATGATTGCGGTAAATTCATAAGGGCTTGTGGTGTATGCATTGGTTAGGAAGTATATTACTTGTTTTGTGGTTTAGATGGTAAAATGGCCAAATGTGGGAGTTTAATTTGAAGTTTCTGTACGATTTGGAAAGAAAGGGGAAAAGAGCATTACTTGACTGGTGCATAAATAAAGGTTTACTTAGTAGCCATTATTAGGTGTTCTGTTGGTAGGAAGGAAATGCATATGGTTAAACGTCAGAAATGCGTAGAGTTGAACGTCGTTACGGAGGATGTTTTTTACTCTTATTTTGTGAGTTTATGTGGTGATGCAAATACACAGATTCTAGTTCAAATAATTTTAGAAAGTTTTCAGATGCAGTTAAGGAATTTTGTTCGGCTGAAGACGTGTTAATTTGTAAATAAGGTTAGTGTATATTTCTTTTGTGTAGTGCAAAGATGAATTTCCTTTTTCATGTTATTTCATTGTCTGATTTCAAAACGTTTTGGCGCAAAAATTGCCGCTACACAAACCAAAATAACAAGTCAAAAAATTGCACAAATTCAATATCCAAGTACCGCCAACAACCGCCAAGGTGTACCCATAAATATACTTTTAAACCCTTAAATATATTTTTACTGTGTAAAGCAAATAGCAAAAGGAAAACCGATCACATTCAAATATAGTTCTAGAAAAACAAAAAAATCAACAAACTACATGTATGTTTCATGTATTAGATATTTAATCTGCAAATGTTTTTTCCACTAAAGTTCAAGAAGCAGTTGATATTTAAGCCTGGATATCGGGATAAATCCTCTGGATACACATTGATTAGTATTATATTGAATATAATAGCTGCATTATATATTAGAGTATTTTAGTATAAGAATCATAACTGAATACGAAATACCATAAACATTAATGATGTAGCCAAAAATATAAAATAAATATTTAAAATTAAAATAAGGATAACGCTTTATTGCAAAAACGTTTGTGAAGTATTAAAAGTTTATACCTGAGTTGGAGTAATATGTGTAACATCTTCAGATGCAAGCTTTTTCAAAATTGTTGTTTTTCCAGCATTATCTAGACCTAAAAGCAAAATTCTCAGCTCACGATCAGGAGCGGATTTTAATTTTCGAAGAAGAGACAGTAAACCCTTTAAGAGATAGTAAAGAAAGAAAGAATTTATACTCAGACTGGATAAACACAGAATAAAGAAACAAGGTTATAATAATTTATTATTGGGAGAGCCTACAAAAGTTCCACTTATGTCAAAATTAAATAAAATTTTTCCATAACATATTCAAAACTATAATAATTTGGACTATTTAAAAAATCTCCGAAATGCTAATTAAAAATTCTACGCACCATATTATTCTAAATTTCGCACTGTTTTTGGAATATTATACTTATTTGTACAATAATGAAAACAGACAGACAGACAACATAGAACTTGTTTTGCAACGGCCAAGTCTTTCTGCACGCAAATCATAAAATCAAAGCGAAAGGAGGGAAGCGAAGACAAAGAAAGCATAGAAGAAAAAGAAAAGCTCGTATGGGACATTTTCACTCCTTTCTTTCACCTAAGGCTCTTGCAAGGAGGTTAGAATAGTTTGTATGGGACATCACGTGATTTTTGGTCTGCATGATTAAATACATCTATTCTAACCTCCTTAGAATATTCTAACCTCGTGTCGCCCGTATCCGTAAAAGAGCCAAGTTAGTGCAACTAAGGCTGTTCTCCGAATTTAAGTCCAACAAATATTAAGTACATGCACTAGTTTGTTTAACGTAGTAAATATCATTACATGTAGCGCAAAACATATTTTTTCATATTAGATATTACTTCTTTGTTTATTAACTTTTAACTCCAAATTTTACAGTTGTTTATTTATTGCAAACGCTGTAATGATTATCACATTACCCTATTACTACATTTATGACATTTTTAATGTATTTAAATTTCAATTCTAGCTTCACGGTTCATAAATAAAAAACGAAATTCACTTTTTCTCAAAAGCCAGATTGAGAAAGATTTACCTATTGAAAAAATTTTCACGCTCATCATATGTTGTCTAGCAAATAAACTTTCACCAAAGAATATGTATTGACATACTCTTCTTCCTTCTCCTTCCAGATTCTTATCAGAAGTAGAGTAAAAAGATGTTTCTACATCTTTTGACACTCGAAAATAAAATACGATCTGTGTGTGTGTGTGTGTAGACGTTTTTTGCTTTTACTTCGTTTCCTCGACCGTTCCATTGTCGAGCTAATAAATACTATTACTACAACTTTGTGGTTGTGTGTGTAAACCAAGTTTGATTGCGTCTTTCTGTTGTGATGCAACCTGTCTTGTTTGACTGAAGAAACTTGCTCTACCGAAATCAAGTTTTAACATCAAATATATGTTTGTGCAACGTTTATTTTTATTTCATTTTTACTGACTTCGTTTATAAAAGAAGTATCATTAGTAATGGCTGCTCTCTTCGCTTGTACCAAGTGCAATAGCCGTCATCCTTTCGAAGAATTATCTCAAGGTCAACAACTTTGCAAAGTAAGTCAGCTTTTAAAAATAATTTGTCATTTTTAAAAATGTTTGCAACTAAAAAACATAATTGAACCATCTGATGAGTACCGATTTGTTTAAATTTTACGGAGTTCTCTTTTCTATTGCACGTACGGTTAATGTTACGAAGCTAAAAGTTCAATTATCTTATTTTACGTACTTTATTGTAATATCTGTTTAAATACTTTATTGTAATTATCTGTCATGTTTTATTTAACGGAGGTAAGAAAACTATATTTCTATAATGGATATCTAATCTTTAGTCTTGAGTGAATTTTAGTATGCTTTTCACTGTTTGCGGTTTTGTATGGGCAGCGTTATTATGCACAGATCACAGTATTTAATAAAATCTTAAGGCTGCCTGGTTCTGGCTTGAGAAATAGCATAACAAAGCATCTAATTTTGCTGGGAGTTTAATATTTGCTACTTAAATTTCTAGGGAATCACTTTTAGTGCACTTCATAAATACACGTGATGTATTTAGCCATGCAGACCAAAAAAGCAAAATTCATTAAATTTCTGATAAAATTTATTTAAATATAATGTATGTATGTACATCTAGAAGGACAGAAATATGCCTGCATGTTCAATCATGCTATGTGATGACAATATTATGGCTAAGGAAGATGATATATTGCCATTTGAATGATCAAGATTTCAATTTGAGAATTATTAAATACAAAAGAACTCGATTCGCTTTTTGACCTCAAATGATTTGTAATTTTGAATGCTTCCAGTGTTGACCATGTTGCTGCATAACACCATTACGATATCTTTTAGAAGTTTTTCTTGTCTCGTTTTTACCATTATAAGCAGATATTTTCTCCATTTTTCCTGTCGTTTATTGAAATCTTACCTACCCAGTATAACAGCCGTTCAATAATTCTGAAAAATTATAATTTGCAGCATGAACTATTACAAATGTATGCTTGTGCTGCAACTATAACATGCTGCTGCATGTTCAGTACTAGCTTACTAAGCTCGATAACAGGACTCTTAAAATAATATCGGGTTTTAATGAAAGTTTCTCACCACCGCAAATATGATCTGCGCATACAGTTCGCATTGGCATGTTTAATCAAATTCTGTCAAACAATTTTTGCCATTTGAAAGAAAGAGACTTGCTTTAGGACACAGTGTTGTGAAATTTGTTAAAAACTTATGGTTATCATTAAGTACAAGGTGTCTGAAATGGAACTATCATGCTACCAGATTAGATCCATTATTTACTTTCAGTTCTGTTTCAAAAAGTCAGCTGCAGAGTGTCACCAAATCGTGTACAGCATTAGGCACTATTGCTGTTACATAGACACTGTGAAGGTTTGGTTCCAAAAGTTCAAAAAACAAGGATTATGACATTCAAGAAGCAGAATGGTTGAATCTTTACATTATGGTAACTTTGGCGACCAAACCTGCAACACCTGCTTGCTAGTTTTTTTGGCTGATCTTTGGAATATGGTAACTGGTAGTTTGGAGGCGATAAAGGTTACTACCTAGGACTTTAGTAATAATGTGAGAAGCACTCAGGGCACAGCTTTAGTATTAGTCCTTTTTGGCAAGAAATTTGTTTGGCGACATTTTAGAGCGATAAATGAAAAATTATGATAACCTTGGTAACCCTAAATACTGAGCTTAAAACATGCTGCCATTTCTGTCCACGCATATTTAACGAATTTGGTAGGTATCAGAGCTTTGATGGCAGGAGGGATAATGCATGTTTTTCTTAAAGTTACTTTTGTGTTAGGAAAGCACAACATTTAAAATATTTTTTAAAAAGCCAAAATTTTGATAGTTAAAACTGGTGCTTTTAATATTACATCACATGAGTCGACATTTTTTCATATGTCAACTCTGCATATTATTATAAACTTCCCCCCCTTCAAGAAAAAAAACACATCTTCAGTAGCATGAGGTAAACTCTTGATGTTTCCTTTGCTAAGGAGATCAAAATTACCATGGTCTAAAAATACTTATTTGCCTCATATTAGAACTATAGGGATGTGTAATTGCATGAATTCATAGGTTCAAATCAGGTTTCATTATTGCTTTTATAACATTTTTATAATTTGTCCGACTATAAAAAATATAATATTGGTAAAATATAATGTAGATTATGGAATATATTGCTTATAATTTAGAGTTCTCAAATTTTGTAAATCTTACAACCTAACAGCTGTATATGAATAACCTTCACTGAGTATTATTACTTTTATTAATAGTATGTTGACATAACAGTCGACTTTTTATTTTAAATTTTATGCAAATTTTCTACATTACTTAAACATTTTATCTAACAGAAATCTTCATTTTTTGTAATAAAAACTCTATAATAAAAGTAAGAGTACAATTTATGTTATAATAAAAGTAAGAGTACAATTTATATATAAAAATTTGACTACATGGCAAGCACTTAGATACTGATTTCAATGTCTTTAAATGTTATTATTATAAAGTTTAGATATATTCTTATTAAGTTAAGATATACTTTTATTCTATTATAAAGTTTAGATGTACAGAACAGAAGGCACACTTTGTGCTTACGACTCAGTCAACCACTTGTGGCAAGATAACTTATGATAACAATTAAGTTCAAATGTAAAATTTAAATTCAAATAAATTTGTAGCCAAAGGCTGCACAAATCAATTTAATGCAAAGTTGGTTAAAAACTTAACTGGCATGGAATTCAACTATCAGCAATTATAATGCAAGACTGAAGACTACAAATCTTATCTAGCAACCTAGTTAATGTGGCCTCGAAAAGGCAAAACACGGTTTGTTTTACAAAATAAAAACTTCATTTAGGATTCTGGTGAGAAAACGGATGGAGGAAATTGACAGTAAAGATCCCAAGCATAAAATAACTCTGGTTACAAAATAAAGGAACGTTACAATATACTTTGTTCCCTGATTAATTATTCAGTACATGAAATAGTGTAATGCATTTTTGTTTGCATCACATACAAATTATTTAGTTTATTTAAATGCTTTCCAAAACTGACAGGATTTTGCAAACATATTGACCATATTTTTCGACCTATAGATGCAACACTTCTTCTCTTCAGAAGTAAGATTTAGAATTAAGAAATAAGAAAATAAGAGAGAATTATGAATAGAAAATAAATACATATGCTGGCTAGCAGAAGAAGGATGCCTTCATAAAGTACTTTTTAAGAGAAACTGGCTCAGATTCACATTACATGTACGGGAAAACTACAAAAACTCCCATATAGCCAGCCTGAACTACCACTGTTCAGTGGCTATCACTCCACCACTAGTGGATTCCAATGACTGTTCGAATTTTTCACAGAAATCATCATTTACGATGATTGTTGTATTATTACCATTGGTACAAAATTTACTCATTATGATAATTTAATTTTAGCTTTTAAATTATAATCATAAATTACTTGTAATAAATTGAGGGATTAAAAAATACACACTTCTTAATATTTTTACCATTTAAAAAATTTAGGTTGATCTTTACATTATGGTAACTTGGCGTTTTTTTGGCGAAAATTTGGCGACCAACTCTCCTACAGCAACCCTCTATTTTTTTTTTCCCGCCGCCATTTTGTCTTCACGAAGTAAGACATGTTTCTTTTCTTTTATCTACTGAACACTTCTTCCAACAATCTACTAGCCGAATTACACTTATGCTAGAAATTTTATCTAACAAAACTGCTTAATCATGACAAATATCACTGCAAAATTGGGAAAAAGTGCACAGTACCATACTCCTTACACGTTTTTCAAATAACACATACACATAAACCTGTACACGCCGATTATTTTACTTAAAAAAACATCCCAGAATTGCACAAAAATGGCATTGCGCACACTCTTCACTATATCCATGTACACTGCTTTTTTCTCATAAATTAGAAAAATTTCACGAAAATAGATGACAATTTTCTCAATCTTTAAACCCGGTAAAAAGAACATATATGAAATTACCTGATCGCGAAAAAGTATTTACCCTTTCCAAATATGAACATTTCCACATATAAAATAAATATCCAAAAACGTTTACCTCTAAATCATCTATTACATTATACACGTCACCAACGAATTCATACCACAAGTATTACAAATACTTAGTATCAAATATTTAAATTATTTCCATGCACATTTACTTCAACTAAAATGTATACCAAATTCCTACAAACATAAAATTCACAAAATAACTATCATTTCATTAAAATATAATTAAATTCAAAAACACTACTTAAAATATAAATAAGCACATATATTAAATTAATAAAAATTAGCTTACAATCCTAATTACTTTTAAACTAAATCATTGCTAATAACAATTTTCCCAATAATACCAAATTACTTTACTTCCACCTTACATTTAGAACAATACATAAAAATAATTTTTTCCGATCTTCAAAGCTGGGTCTACCTTGGCGACCGAAGTTTGTCGCCAAATCAAAAAATTGCCAAAAGGACCAATACTAAAGCTGTTCCGCACTCAGTTCCGATTATGCATTATTTTGTGTGAGGGAAATGAGAGATCATGATATATGTCATGTGACATTAATGGACGAATCACAGTTGTTTAATTGGAAAAGGGGGGAAATCTGGAAATTTCGTATTTAGCTATATTCTGTTGTTGTGTGATACGTGACATTAATGGACGGTTCTATAATCGGAAAAGGGGGTTAATTTGGAAAAGCTTCATTGTGTGTTGTGCGAAATAGTGTTGATTAATTTTTGGATTGCGTGGCGCTATGTAAAGTGAATTCTAAATTTTTAATGCGTTTATCTGATGGTAATAATAATAAGTTGAGATTGTGTGAAAGGAAGGATATTAGAAGTTTAAATGGCCGTGCAAGAAATATGGTGAAAATGGACATTTTGTAAAAAGGAGTGTAAGGAAGGGTACGTGGTTTGCTGAAAGTAGTTTGAGTAGAGGTGAAATTTTATTAATTTCTTATTGGGAAAGACTTCCAGTTGACTACAGGATTTAGAAATTAGCAGAGTA